AGTGGCTTCTTTTCTTTTTGTTCCACTAAAAGTTGTTTACAAGACAGATGCTGCTGCAGAGAAGCAGACGTCTGACTCTAACTTCCTGACTCCTAGTTTTCAGAGGCGTGCACTCACCTGGTCCAGGACGTGGAAGAGGCTGTCGTAGACGTCGCTCTGCGTGTACACGGCGACGCTGTACTCGTCCTCGTCCACGCCGCTGAAGTCCTTCAGGAAGAGGTGCTTGAGGGCCATCGTGTTCTCCTCCTTGTAGGAAACCACCAGCTGGTTGTTGAGGCCGAACAGGACGAGCTGCCAGGAAGAAGGAGAGCCGCAGGTTTACTGTAAATGTTTGCTGCAGGCGTGGAGGCTCACGTATTTCTGGTACTGCTGGAGTCATACTTCCTGGAATATTTTTAAATTTAAGTGTTTTTTTGTTTAATCAATTTTTTTAGTCAGTGTACAATTTTGCCAGTTATGTAATATTAAAAATGATGTGACATAAGAGAAATGAAGCTTCAAAACTGGACTAAAGATAATTTCTCTGAAATGTTGTCAGATAATTGCTGGAAATAAACCAACAAGAGCAACACTGTGAGGAAAAGACTTTTTACATTTATATTTTTGCTATTTTTAACTGTATGTTTGTGTGTAAACGTCTGTTATTTTACAGCTTTTCCATTTTAAATGACAGAAAATATCTATTAAAAAAAAAGTAAGAATTTAAATCATGTTAACTCTAAAAACAAACACACATAAATTCCACATTAATTTTTTTTTTTTTTATTGCTATTTTCGCAAATGGAAATTTGTTCTTTTACGACATGTGACTGTTATTTTACCGATTTACCCTGATTTGTTGAATTACAAATAATATCTAGCAAAGTAAAAAAAAAAGGTATTAATTTACATAACAACTGTTAAAAAAATAAAATAAAATGTAAATTATATCCGTATCAAAAATCAGTGTTTTTACAAATATTAATTTAGCAGTAAAACTATACAGTTTGAATGTACTTAAATCTGCTATTAAATTAAATTAAATTAAATTAAATTAAATTAAATTAAATTAAAATTTGCAGCTATTTTCAGAGTTTTTGAAAACCACAATATTTCAGAAATTTTTTTAAACATATATTTTTTAGGCACCATTGCTGCCAGATTTTCATTTTTGTCTTTTACAGATTTGATTTTATTCTTTTACAGACCAGATTGCCTCGTTTCAGTCCGTCTACTTACAAAAATAATCTGAGAAGAGGACAAAATGACGCTAAATCCCTTTTAGTTACGCTGTATTTGATTGTGTGGAGATTTAAACTCATTGGCATCTTATATTATTGTTTTTTTTTATTATTATGCTATTCTACTTTAAATATTCAAACATCTAGTAAATATTTCTAAAACTGTCTATTTTATGATGTCATGTGTAGCACTTAATTTCACTTTTTTATTTTTCAGGTGCAATATTTCACTTTCATGAACAACATTGTCAACTTTTCATTTTCATTTTCATCTCGTTTATCAGACAACACTTTAAACAAAATAAACATTTTGTTTATGACCTCAGATCAGTCGCCAGCGTTTCCTCACGCTGTTCTGTTGCTGATTGTTTCTCAGTAATGGATCCTACTTGTTAGGGTCTGAGCACCCAAAGACCTTATTGGAACTGCTCAGGTTTATTATTATTATTCGTTATTATTATAACGCGTTTTTGAGGTACACAACGTACTCACACACGCACCAAATTTGACACACACATCAGACCTGGCAAAAAATGTTATAATTAGGGGGAAATACACACCTCAATAGCAAAACGGCTCAACAGCGCCACCTACAAAATTATAAAAAATAGGCCCCTGAACACACTTTCACGTACAGCCATGAAATTCGGCACACACACGTAACAACTCGAGACGCACAAACAAGCCTCAAGAACACATTCCCGAAACGCTACAGGAAGTCGGCCATTTTGACAAAAATGTCAGCTTACCGCCCAGGAAAGAGCCACAGAGGTAAGTCGTACACATTTCAAATTTGGCCAGCACAAACTACACAACGTGGTGAATAAAAGTTATCAAAACGCTCAGCAAAAGGGTGACGGTGGGGAAATGGCGGCCCATGCAATTTCGATCAATGGCCATTTTCGCGGTGTTTCCGGCATTCCCGTTGGAAGGCCGTTTTACCTACAACTACAAGATTCGGTGGACACGTGCAGCAGGTCAGGACACACAAAGAAGTTAATTGGCGCCAAGCCCTCAATCCAACAGGAACTCCGCCATTTTGAAAAAATCGCGGTCAAAATTTTGTGATTTTGGCTCATTGTTGGCCATTTTCAAAATCTATCTCCTCCTAGGTGGAAGGTCGTACACACTTGACACTCGGCCAGCACAAACTACAGGACGTGGTGGTTAAAAGTTATTAAAACGCTCCGCAGAAGTCTAAATGGTGGCCCGTACAATTTCGCCAAAACGCCGTAACAGACCATAACATGGGACGTGCTGTGTAACTGGCCTGTGCGTGAACTTTACATGCGTCCTCCGAGTCTCAGCAAGACGACGTTTCCGCCACGGCCTACATTCACGCCACCACGGCTCACCACTGAACAGGATGTGGCTCGTAGCTAGGCAGCACGTGCAGCGATCTGTCCCAAACTCAACGACGTGCGTGAAGGCCGACAAGCACACGGCGAGGACCCGTCCATCGCCGCCTGCAGCTTTAATGTTTTATTGCTTTGGTATTTTCACGCTCTGCATTTCTTGTTTTGTTTTTACTGAGCAACATCTGGCACAAGAATCACCTCTGGGATTAATAAAGCTTCATCTTATCTGGTGTGCAAGTCGCTGCTGCAACACTTGACCTCAGAGGATCAATAAAGCGTTCATCCTCTGAGCAGAACCCTAAAAGTTGAATTAGTCAGAATGTGTTTGCACATTTCAGATGCACTTGGCCCCTGACGGATCCCGTTTCCAGGAAGCCTCCTCCTCCTCCTCCGGGTGCTTCTTCTTTCCTAATCTTGCAGTAAACCCAGAGCACATACTTGTGTGGTGATCATGATGATTTTCAGGATCTGGACTCCCATCTTCCAGGGGATGTGCCGCCGGGCCCGGTACTTCTCACACGGGCTCATGAAGTAGTACCTGAGGTCGTCTCTCAGGTTCTGCTCTTTGATGACGTCCTGAGTCATTACAGAGCTGCAGGGAAAACAAAAAACAGAGTCGTTTTTTTTTTTTTTGTATTTTTGTCTGAGAAGCAGCTGCTCAGGGAGGAAAAGCAGAAGTGAAAGAAGGCGTCAGAGTGGCGGCTTCATGGCTGCTGCTGCTGCTCAGAGCACCTTGCTGCTCAGGAACTCGGCGTTCTGGACACACTGGCTGCATTCAGCTGCTGGGTTCAAGTCCAAGGTTAGTCCACCCAGTCACACAGTGTTCACACACACACACACACTCTGTCAGGGCTTCAGCTCCACACAGCTGGAAACACACATCTGGGCGAAAACCTCCAAATGAGCTTCAATGTAAAAAAACTAACAAACAACTATTAATGTCATATTAAGTGAACATTCAGCTGCTAACCGCCAGATGTTTCACTTTAAGTCTGTTTATGTCTCATCGTTCTGAGTTGTTGAAGAGAATTAGTTCCCACCTGATCGAGCTGCTCCTCTCCAGATATCGAACCAATAATTCCATGATTGATTATTTCCACGTGAGCTGAGCCTCCAGCTGATCGGGAGCTCGCGTCGCGGCTGACAAGACTCCCTTCAGGTTGTCCGTGTGAACGCGCAGCCTCCCGTCGGCCAATCAGGGCACGAGCGGCGGGCGGCGCGCAGGTGTCCAATCAGCGGAGCGCGGCCCAACCCGGAGGACGGGGAAAGTCTTAAAGCGCTGTGGGTGACCGCAGCTCAGACAGAAAGGCTCTAGCGCCCCCTGTCTGCACGGAAAACTGACTGCAAGCCAAAAGGATTTATAATGATGATTATATTTAGATTTTTTATATATATTATTAAAATCTGAGATGCAGATTTTTTGCGATTATTTCTTATTGCTCAAATTATTACTTGGATTTCTATTCCCAATAATACTAATATTTAGCTTTAAAGGTTTGGTGTTCAATTTTGATAATTTTATTATTATTTTTTTTAATAATGTTTTATTGCCAAAAATGTCTTTCTTATTATTATTATTACTCTTAATATTATCAGCTTTTAATTATTTTGTAATTATTTTTGATTATTTTATTTTTTTATTACATATATTAGAATTTGCCATCATAATGCTGTATTCATTTCTTTATTATTATTGGTATTATGTTCAATTCTAAAGACTGATTTTTTTCTAATTTAATAAAAATATTTTTGTCTTTATATCATAAATATTATTATTGCATTTTTTATTAGCTTTTAAAACTTTGGTGTGCAATTTTGATAATTTTACCATGTATTGTTTTTTTGTTGTTTTTTTAAATCAAAAATTTCTTTTTATAGCTACTATTATTAATATCAGGTTTTTATTGTTTTTTTATTTGTAATTATTTTGATTATTTACATTTTTTATCACATATATTAGAATTTATCATCATGCTGTATTTATCTTATTGACATTGTTCAATTCTAATTACTGATTTTTTTAATCTATTCAAAATACTTTAACAAAATTATGTCTATATATCATAATGATTGCATTTTTTATTATTAGCTTTTAAATGTTTGTTGTTCAATTTTATTTATTTTATTATCTAGTCATTTTAAAAATGTATTAAATACATTATTTTTTATTTGTGTTTTTATTATTTTAACTTATTTGTTACTCAGAACACTTGAAACTAAGCTCTTCAATAGATTTGGCAGAATTTTTGAGAATTTACTGTGTTTTTGAAGTCCAAACACATCTCACCTGGTAAACCATGTCAGGGTTCAGTACATCCAGAAACACAAGTGAAAACTTAAATAATGACAATGAGTTATGTGGACATGCTTCAGGTTGTCAAACAGGCACTTATTAGACACACGAGCTGTTCTGAAGATATGCAATAATCACGAATGATGTCTGAAGAACTTCAGCACACACACAGACATTTATCTTCAAAATTTATTTTATATCATAAAAACAACTTCCTTAGCATTACCCCATACAAAAAAGGGACAAATTTATTAAAAATTGAACAAATGATAGATTCATTAATGCATCAAATGAAAAAGGGTTTCATTAAAAAGCAGTTTTGTACCTTCAGAGTTCACATTATCAGTGCAGCAGTGTGGAAATTATATCCCAGACATAAGACTTGATTTATAAACATGAGCTGCAGTGTTTATGTATTAGTTCAGTCAATAACTTGAATAATGAACTCAAATTCAAACTGTAAAACACATGAGGACAGTGAGAAGGAGCTGATTATTGGTTTCTGGAAAGTCTAACTCCAACATTTAAGTTATTTTCTCTTCGCTCTCCATCAGCTCCTGAGGTAAACATCTGTCTCTTTAGCAGCTAAATGCAGCGACAGGATCAGCAGCTCGTCACCGACCCTGTGAAAAAAGCAATAAGAGCCTGATGCAGCATTAACACCTACAAAGCTGCAGGTCTAAAACACAAACCAGTGAGCGGAAAGACGGTTTAGTGCAGATTTAATTCTTCTAATCAATTCAAGCTGCTGGAAAAGACGTGTAATAATTTGTGCTTTTGTCAAAAAGTATTCTTCTGACTCAATATCCCTTTACGATGTTAATTTTTATTGATTTATGACTTTAATTAATGATTCTTTTGTGCAGACTGGTTTAAAAACGTATGAAATTCACACGTATTGCACTGTAGTGCTTCATACACGCAGATCGCCATAAAAAAATACGAGGAGGGTTTACCGACATTCAGCAAAACCGGCGTCAGTATCAGTTTTTCCAGCCCTCTGTGTAGAGTTAACAGCCACAAAAATATCCGAACAGTGCATAAATATCACATTCTCCCTTGTAAATTACAAAATACTAGTTTGTATTCAAAATTTAAAGTCGAAACTTGTGATCCCAGGTTTTACTCGGCCTTCCATGATCGATATGGTAAAACCAGGAAGCCACTAAAACCCTCCCAAACAGCAGTAAAGTCCGTAAACAGCGCTGCCTCTCACTTGTACGTTCTCCCTGATAACAGTTTTATTCCGGCTGCTGCGTCGTCGACGAAACATTTTGCGCTTTGTAGCTCCGGCACCAAAAATTCATCCTGACAAAGAACAAATTTCACTCAAACAAGACCAGCTTCAGTCGACCACGCAGCAGCAGGACGGCCGCTCTGGTGGTTCCTCAGTGATCCACGTCTGTAAACCAGTCCGTCAGCTGTGTTCGCTCCACTTTGGCACCACAGTCCACCGGAAACACTGCCGGCGTCAGTCTTTCCGCTTCGTCTACTCCACCGCCGGAGACGTCTCCTGAACAGAAATGCCGACGGTTTCAACGTGCGTCAGCGAGACGGGCTCTTGAGCCGAAACCTCCGGGTCCTGCAGTGGTTTACATCAGAAACACATCACAGAAAATAATCACATACTTCAATAAGAAACATTATATGACATTCACAAACCAAAGGGACTATGAAGAAACAAAACACTGATTTATGACATTAAACATTAAACACGCTGCTGCTGCTTGTATTTAGTTTAGTTTGTTGGACTTTTTAAATATTCGCTGCAACAAGTTCTTCAAATCTGCAATAAAACGAATTAAGATGCAACTTAAATTAATTAGAAAACTGAATTTGCTCATATGCGGAATAAAGGAGAATGATTAGCATTACAAATAACAAGATTAAATCCTGGCTGTACGTCCCTACGCTGTTACTTATGGTGTGAATTTACAAAAAAAAGTTTGATCAAATACAACTTGACCTGCCTGCAATAAATATGAAGGCTGAGACCCTACAGTACTGTTAATTATGGAGAACCATTTAGAACTAGTTTGGACCCGACAAAAAAACCTAATAAATCTAATTTCCCTGGATCCCCCATGAGCAAGTTTTATTTTATTTTTTTTCCATTTATGCCATGATATGCAAGTTAAACCCACTATATTATAAATGATGTTTTTTTATGAGACAAACGTCTGGTATGGTTGCAACACAAATATAAAAATGCATCTGAAGCCAAAACAATACATGAGCTCACAAACACAAGACAGCTATGATGAAAACACAAAAGACAAAATCACAGAAAAAATCCTGAAATGATTTATGATCCAGATAAGATGAATTACTTATTTACCAATTTACGTCGCATGTGAATTTTCCCCGTCCCATTAACACAACGCTGCAGCATTGAAACACAACAATTCAGAGAATTAGGCACAATTAAGAAGCACTTGTGTACGTCCACTTTGCTTTAGCTGCATGCAGGCATTGTGAAACCCTCACCTGAACATCGGGTCGTGAAGGCCGCCTCTCTGCTGGCTCAGGTCTCTGCTCCGCGCCGTCTCTGCTGGGTTCATCTGGAGAAAGTTTCCCTTTCGGCGTTTCATTCTTCGGTTGAGCTGAATCCGGTTTGGTTTGAGCTGCGGCGTCGCCACCACTCGCTCCTTCCAGCTCCTCCGGTGTCTCCTGCTGGTTTTCTGAATCTGATCCAGCTGAGAGATTCTGCTCCGATGCGGGACTTTCGTCGCGCCTCGCTGCGTCTGTTTCGTCCTCGCTGTACAGAGGGTTGGCTGATCTTAGCGTCTCCACAACCACTCGGGGCGGCTCTTTCCTGGGCCTGTTGGGTCGCCTCTGATGCACGTTGTTCCTGTGTAACCTGGCATCGTTGGCTCGGTGTTGTGGTGCGTGTTGAGGTGCTGGTGGACGTTGTGGTGCAGGTGCATGTTGCGGTTGAGGTGCAGGTGCAGGTGCTGGTGCTGGTGCTGGTGCCGGTGCTGGTGCTGGTGCGTCCCCTCCCGCCAGCTCATCACGGTCCTCGATCCTCGGGTAACGTGGCTGCCGTTGCTCCAGCTCTGGAGGAGGTGGATCCCTTCGCGGGCGGCGCAGAGGAGCCATGATGCCGTACTGGAAGGCGGCCTGCACGCTTCCATACATGAACACCTGCAGAAGAGCACAAACCAGTGCAGTGACGCATCGTCCGGCTTTAATTCACTTCCACGAGTGATGATTGATCGAGAATCTTTACCAGAATGGCGAGCACGATGGTGAGGAGGACCGGGATCTGCAGGGTCACCGGGAGGTCTTTCAGGAGCGCTCGGAGAAACTCGCTGATTCCCTGACCGATGTGCTTCAGCGGCTCTGTGATGAAGGTGGTGATGGTGACTGCGATCGCCTGAGCAGAAAGAGACGTTCAGATTTCATCTCTTTACCAACCTGGGATCAAGACATTGCTGCCCTGTGGGTCTGAGGTCACTTTAATGTTCCTTAAACTTACTGTTCCACATTATTATATTTTTCAATCCTTTTTTGTATATTTTCTTATACTGTTTAATAGTTGTGCTCATTCTGAGAACCAAACTGTTCCACGAGTTCACCACAAACTGATAAAAATCAAATCATCATGGCTTTTAAAATTTAAAATTTCTTCTTCATTCACATTGTCCAATGTTGCTCCTGAACAGTTGTTGTTTGTTATCAGGGACTAAGTTGCTGCTGGTCCTAAAAATTAAGTGTTTGCTTTGGAAAATAATATATTAGCGTGCTCATTAATTCCAGTGTTATCATTATAGCTTCATTCGTGATGTGTTTATTGGATGTAATGTAGTATTACATGTGTGACCTTCTGCACAGTAAACAGTCAGCAGTTTAATTGGAAATAAAGGATGTATCTTGTCCTTTGTCGTAATGACAAAACTTTATATGAGGCTTCCGACTAAGTTTGAGTTCCAGTACCATACCTCGACATTTTAAAAAAGTGTTGAAAGTGAAACGGTTCTGGTTCTGAAAGAGGCTTTTAATAGATAGGAAGGTATCACCGGAGCAGCGGCCTACCTTGGTTGGAGGCACCAGCAGAATGGGGTTGACCATGAGGACTTCATAATATCTCTTACACGGGTCATCTTGAAGCGTCCAGGTGCTTCGGTACCACTCTGCAGATAAACAGAGAAAGATCTTCAGCAGAAGTAATCAATGAAACAGACTCACTACACTTTAAATGCTCCTTGGAAGCAAGGTTTTATATTTTGGCTGCATACCTTGAGACTGGTTTAAAAAAAAAGAAAAAAGAAAGGACAGACATTTAATGAATACGTTGTTGGCGGCTGTCACGAGGACGTGGCTATCAGAGGAGAGCCCGACTTTGAACGAATGGATGGACATCATGATGGATATTTATAAAATGGAGAAAATAACAGACTTTGTCAACCATAACCTGGAACAATTTGGGTTATCGACGCAACGCTCCTTAAACCAGATTTCACTTTTTGCTTTCTAACCAGCGATAATATTGATATAGTAGATATAATAGATTGTTATTATTATTATAATGACTTGTCTTTTGTCCTTTGTTTCCAACAAAAAGTTAATAAAAATTATGAAAAAAACAGACTTAATCCAGAAAAAATCTGCACGCTTGGTATCACTGTCTGTCAACTTGTCATTATAAAGTAAATATTAATCGCACAAACAAAGGATTTGGATTAATTCCTTGTAAGCTTTGATATTATCGTGGGCTTAATTTTACATCCATCCAGGTGTCATAATCTTGAGACTAAATCTTGTTTTTATTTGATTTTCTATAACCAACTCTGAGCATCAGTATTATGGGATGTCTCACAGTGTGAACAGTCAGACTGCAGCAGTTTAATGTCTATGACACAGAGTCATAGAAACAATCATTGGTACCCTGGATGAGTTTTTAGTTTCTGATCATTCACCAGAGAAAACTTTAAAAAGTGCATTCTGGGTAAACTTTCAAGGCTCATGCTTGATGATGGTGGTTGGTCAGAACAAGTTCTAGACAACGGAAGGATAATTTTTTACCAACATTTGACACCAGGATCATCTAATAGACAGGATTTATCTTCACGTCTAAATAATTTTAAGAGCTCAAATGTGTGTTTAAATGTGTCTCCTGTACCTATGTAGGGCTCAACAATGATGGAAAAATAACCTGAATTAAACAACACAAATCTTTAACAAATCCTTTTGTACTTTGAGGGCCGATAACTTTGGATATATTCATAGCATGAACATAAAATTTGCATGGCTTTTTTGAAAGTTATTTGTACAAAGCTTTCAGATTGGAGGCTATAGTCCGGAGGCTATTTACCGGACTCATACCCTGATATGAGGCGTGTGTTCATGCTGGTTGGTGGTCTACCTGTCAGACTGTCAGTCCAGTCCACTTTCTTCACTCCGGTGCATTTAGCATTGAAACTGTCCATCTTCACTATATTGTTTTGGTGCTCAGCAAAAGCAATCTGGAAAAAAAAAAAAAGAAATAAGAAGAAATTAAAACATTTAATTCTACCAACAACACAAAACCAAAGATCAAAAGAGCTCCTCTTCACCTTGTACAGATAGAACCAGTTCCAGACGATGCTGACGAAGAAGCAGACAAAAAACAGTCTGATGAACTGCTTGGGCCAGGAGACCTTCGACAACAGCTGGCTGCAGACGATGGCCACGATGATCAGAACGCCCAGCCCGATCTGGAGAGAGCAACGGTTACGCAAACCACCGACACACAACGTACAGAACGGAACATCCGTCAGCTGGATTATAAGTGTTATTGTAAAAAGCTACACTGAGTTAAAAATTAGAAAACGCTATATGTCTGTTTTAGTCGCTGAACAAACTAGCATGTCACACAGCAAAAGACAAAAGATCTGGGTGCAGACTCGTCGACCTCCAACGTAAGCACTACTGCCTTTGGTTTACTCAGGAGCCTCACAAACCAACCTGATACACACAAAAAACAGATATGACTACAAACAGTGAGTCGTTTTTCCCTCCATAGCTCATGACTAAAGTATCTAAAGACTTCAGATTGATGATTGAGGTTACCTTTAACACCGTATCAAGCTCCACGCCAAAGGTGTCTTCGAAACGCCACTTCCAGGCCTCGTAGTCGTGCGGTTTAAGGTCCACCAGTATCTGACTGAGGGCGTTGTCCAGAGCTCCTGTTCTCCACCTGTCTTCACCCTCCAGGAGCGTCTGGATCTCCGTCATGGCCTGTCTGGACAGTCTGATTTTGGCATCATAGAAGACGTCTGAGTAGTCAGTGGGCTGTGGAGAAATGAGGATGACCACATTTATGAAGACGGAATGAAATCTGTGACAGCAACAGCAACATGTTTCCTAAATTCTGTCGGAACTGAACTCATGAAACATGAAGTGAGCGCCTACCAAACCAACTCTTTGTATTTCCTTCAGGAGTCTGCTCAGGAACCTCTTGAACACCGGATTGCATGAAGGCTGCTGTGCAATCTGCTTGATCGTCTTCTTCTGGTCTTCGATCTGAAAGAAAACAGAGCACTGAATGAATTCCCACATCCCAGCTGGGGATTCAGAATCTTTCTGAAAGACAGGCAGCAGGGCTGAGGCTTGTTTTCAAGAAAACGTGAAACAGAGCTGAACTTCATTCAAACAAATGTCATATTGTGCCCCTTCTCAGCAAATTAATTAAAGTCTCTCGTGTCCCAGAACCCCACAAATATGGTTAATTTCACCATGACTGTATAACTCCTGGTTTTATTTCTGCTCTAAACGGGCTGTTTCAGTGTCTGTAGCTTAAAATGCAGTAACTGTTTCATACTTATTCTGCTGTTTGACACCAGAAAGAGATGTATTGGGAATTCTGCTGTATTAAAACACTGTATATGTGAGCACAGAGAGCAGGAGAGAAGCTAGCAGATGTACACAGCAGCTGAGTTTAGGTTGACCTAAAGTAGAGCAGGCAACATGAACCCACACAGTAACCCACCTGGTCCTTGTTTACTGGTTTAAATTAAAGCTTCCACAGAGCTCTGACATGTGGGCATACAATCAAAGCTAACGTTAGCCACACTAAAATGGTATTAAATTCCTCAGATGCTGGCAGTGCATGAAGACTCTTGTGTTCACTCTTACATCCAACAGCAGAACATTTGGTAAGTTTTGAGTATTCAAGTCAATGTTGACAATCTTTGCACACATTTTAAGTTCTTTTGGACAAGTTTGGAGTTGTTTTTAACAAATTTTCAATTATTTTGAACTAATTGTAAAGTCATTTTGGGCACATTTAAACAACTTTTTGTCATTTTGGACAATTTTTGAAACATTTTGGACAGATTTTATGTCATGTTAGACAAGTTTTGATTATTTTGGACAGCTTTTGAGCCACTTTGGACAAATTGTGAGCCATTTTTAACACATTTAATTCATTTCGGACTAGTTTTGAGTCCTTCTGGACAATTTCTCAAGGCATTTTGGCCAAATGTATGTGCATGAAGACTCTTGTGTTCACTCTTGCAGCCACTACAGAACATTTGAAAGTTAGATGGGAGGCTGCTGCTCATGCTGATTGGTTCACCTGGAAGGTGAGGGGGCGGGGCGTTTGAGCTACATGACTGTGTGTGGTGATACACAGCAGCTGTAAATCTGGGAGGCTAACTAGTTGTGGGAGGTTTTAAGGAATATCAGATGTAAACAGTCCACAAAAACATCCAGTTAGAATGTATTTTACCACATGAGACCTTTAATTTGCTGAAAAAGGAGCGCAATGTGGAAGCAGCCACCAACCAGTTTCTGTAGATCCGCTACTTGCGTGTTGCAGGCGTTGAGTTCAGCCTCCCCCTGAATGTATTCTCTTCTTTTGGTGGCCACGTTACTGTAGCTGGTTTCCTGCTGGACAAGCACACACATATTTATAGTGAGCATGCCACCGCATCGTAACAGACCAGCTTCAGGTGATCCAGGGCATCACATCAAATACACAGCCGGAAACACTCAACCTCGGCGGGCTTCCGCATCTTTTGGGTCCCTGGGTCGTAGTTCAGCATATCGTACGGGTCCAGCCACTCGTCGTCCATCTGCTGACCCGCAGCAGACAACAACAGGCTGCATACCAGGACGATGAGGAGCATCCTGGCCGGTGAGGAGAGGGCTTTCCCGGACAACCGCCCTCTGTCAGCCCGCTTTGATCCAAACAGGACTTCCAGAAAGGCGGACGGACAGCTGCAGCTAGCTACGATAGCTGACTCTAAAACTATAGCTACTAAAGCTAACAAATACTCTGACTCGTTTAAACTGCCTTAAATCCCGAAAAATAAAGAATTGAAACTAAACTACACAGTTCAGCGTTGCGAATCCAACCAGACAGTTAACGAGCTAAGTACCACTTTACGGCACAAACACAGTCGCAATTTACGTCCAGCGCAAAGTCTCACGGGAATGTAGTTTTTCGGCAACTTTCCCCCCAAAATGCGTTTTTACCCAAAAAAGAACAGTTATTTGGTTTCTACTAAATCAAAGCTACACATTTAAATAACATGCAAACCAATATGTGGTATCTGTAAAGAAGCAGATGCATATTATTTGTTTAAAGTTTTGTTTTGTTTAAGGTGCCGTATTTGTTTCTCAAATGTAAAATATCAGGTTACAAATCAGGTCTGGAAAAAAAAAGAAGTGAATTTTATTTTCTTTACTCTGTGCTGTGAGTCTGTGAAAAGTTTTGATTTTTTTTCAAAACTTTTTTTGTCTTAATTTTGGGTTGATATGGAATTTTGTTGTCTCACTGATATGCTCTGATTTTTAAATTGATGTATTTTTAATGTTGTTTTGTGAATGGGCCCCAGGAAGACCAGCCACCACCTTGTGCAAGCTAATGGGGATCTGAATAAAGTGAAGCTCTTGAGAAATGAAGGTCATCCTATCTGAGAACATCCAGTAAAACTGAGTTTTCCCGGCAGTGATTCATAGCTGCTGAATGCATGTCGAAAAGTTCAAACAACAGAGATCGATAAGGCGACTGTAAACCTGAAGATTAGGCTGGTTTAAATTTACAGCCAATGATTAAAGGTCACCGTCACTCCCGGTTAGTTGTTGCACATCTGTCTGCTTTTGAGCATATACATGATCATCATTTTCCTACAGCAGGATCGAGATGACACAGTACAGTTTCAGTGCTAAAGCTTTAAGGTGTGTTGACTTTATTACACATCTGGACTCTTATTTTTTTTTTTTTTTATGTTATCAGTCAATATATTATTATGTTTTTACTATAAAAATCAGCATCAGCCTCAAAAGTCCAACATTAGTCAGGCTCCACTGTAAATAAGTAATAAATAGCAACAAAATAATGCTTCAACAATTAACTTCAACAAAACATTTTATTGAAAAGATGTGTATTTAATATTTACAAAAAATTTAAGGAACATATTTATTGATATTGAACTTGATTAACTGCAATTTGCAGTTTGGCTGTTGAGTGAAATCACTCCGTTCAAGGCAAAAACAATCTACACCTTGAGAAAGATGTACACAAAACACCCTGCAGAGTGTCTGAAGTCTCCAGGGCTTACAGGAACTTCTGCCACAGTTGCTAATAATGTCCATTTTTTCCACGACACAGGAGCCCAAACTGAGGCTCTCCAAGCTCCATAAGTTCTCACCTGCAGCTTGAGGCCACACAGTTAAATACAGACATAAAGGCAGGACTGTCAAAGGGTTACTGGTTTATTTTCCTTTCCGCCCTTTACCGCCCTTGGCTCCTCCTTTGCCACCCTTAGCGTGTCTTCCTTTTCCTTTGCCGCCTTTAGCGTGCTGCTCTTTCCTCTGCATTCCCCGCATGTCTTTCTTCATGCGACCGTCCACCACTTTGAAGACTCCCTTCACTCCGGGAGGCCGTCTCACCTTCTTGCCGGCTCCCTTTTTGGTAACAACGTACGTTACTTCTCTCTTTTCCTTCCCCAAACCAGCTTTCTTGTAGATGCTGACGAAACAAGAAAAGCACAAATAACATTATTGACATTTTATTATGACTAAAAATTAGCCAAACTTTCGGTCTGCCGGAGTGAAAACGCACCTCTTGAGCTGAGCCATCTTCTCCCTCTCGGAGATGTCCACCGTGTTGACAACAGCCTCCGCTTTCTTCTTGGCCTGCTCCATCTTCTTCAGCATCTAGAAAAGAGACAGAAACTTAAGAATTACCAACCAGACACACGTCGACTGATGAGTTCCTTCAGCGACCAGTCTTTACAGCAGGTCATCTTACCCTCCTCTTCTTCCTGGCTTTGGCCTCAGCGACACGTTTGATGGGTCGGGCATCGATCTCTCTCCATTTCTGTTTGTACTCCTCCACCATGTCCTTGGTGACCGGCACCGGCTTCTTCCGGTGCTTGCGTTCGTCGTTGAGGAACCACTCCGGTACCTCCCACGGCTCGTCAGAGTTGGCAAACCTGCAGAAGCGCACGGTCAGTTTTCGGTACACGTACATGAAGCGTGTAATTAACTCGGAGCAACAGTTTGGCTCAAGCTGTGTTTCAATAGCGCTCAGAGCAATACGTTTTATTTTGCTTTCTCAGTTAAAGCAGTGAAAAAGTGAAATTCCATCCCAACAAATAATAAAGATTCAGGAAGCTTTGCAGTGTTTAAAACCAGCCTCAATAATTACCTTTTATTTACTGATTTTATCTATTGTCTCACACTGATGAATTGTAAAGTTTTCTGTTGCTTTATGAAGTGGATTTATTGCTCTCTGGTTGTTTTCTTTTTCTGTCGCTGCCCAGAAACAACAGATGCAAATAAGCTACAGGCTAACTCTGGTGCTATTACTTCTAATTGAGCACTGTCTTTGCAGAAATAAACAAACTATCCAGCTTTGTTGAGCATTTTTTTTGTCTTTTTTAGTGATTTACTGCCAATTAAAGGTACAGAATATCATCATTAATCATTGCCCTTCTGGCGTTGCAGCGCATAGCGATACTAGAACGGTATCCTGCCATTAAAAACTATGCAATCTCCCATTTTATGAGTATTGGAAGCTAAACATCAAAGTGTTTAAATAGAAACTGGGAGCGTGTTTCAGTATACATACAATGTAGGACGCCTGAAAAATATTTAGTACGTCCAATGCAGTACGCTAAAAAGGATGTCCTCTTGCAACCGGTTGGATTTTGCAGTACACAGGCCTGCGTACTTTTCTGGCCTTTCTGACCAACACTCCTCTGCACAGTTGCGTCACATGTTGTCTTGCACAAGACGGTAAACAAGCTTCAGCTGCTGAGAGAGCACGCACAGATGACGGCTCATTTAGCACAGCAGACCGCAACAGGAAGACGAGGAAGGTGCAAAATTATGATAAACTAATCTGTCCGAATGGTATGATGCTGCATGAAACACTAAGAATTTTGTAAAGGCAGCTGTAACATACTGAAAGTAATACCACACAGTGTGGGATTTGGGATTCAGCCTGTATATCCCATTATTTGCAGGGCAGCGAGTGTTTGCTTCCTTTTGACTCCCCTTTTTCTTCTCTCATGAGCAAACTGCAGCTGTTATGGGGTCAAAACTGGAGCAAGGTCGCACAAATAACTTATCTCGCCAACCGCCCACGGATTCTTCGCAAAGATGATGCACAAAGCAAAATACGGGTCTGTTTCGATTGCAGACGACACAAAGCTCGTCTGCACATTTTCAAACAGAAATCGAGGGAGTCAGTGCATCTCAGCAGCTGACAGACATGCCGACTTGTTTAAAAAAAGAGCCGTCAAAGCATGACGCTTCTGCAAAAATTACTCTGTGCCGTCAAATACACACAAGTTTGCTTTAATTTGTGACGTGGCAACATAGGAGCAATGACAACGGTTTAATTTGGCTTTTTCGCTAAGTGACTGACACACATCTCTGTGTTTCGTAAACGCAGCATTCACACTGTTAGCTTTGCAAGGTGCTAAAAATCAACATCCCAACAACACAAGCTACAACGATCGACTGAATACCTGCAGAAAGTGGGTGAATAAAGTTCTGCTGCAAGGATGTAACCTTTGAAATAAGCAGCGCTGCGACACGTGGCGGTGGAGAGACGCGTAAAGAGCTTAATACAGAGTTCCTCCAGCTCTGGTTGGATCTTAAATGTATGAACCCGCTGTGGTACAATAACTCACTCCTGTTGTTCTATGGCTTCTAACGTCCTCCACTGATGCACATAAACACTGTCACAATAATTATCATTTAATTTAAATAGCAACACCACAATCTTGAAGTTCTATGTACTGTAATATATGGTTTCATTACTTTCCTGGGTTTTTGCTGTGACTTCAGTTTCAGTATTGATATATTTAGTTACTACTCTATTACTTTATTCTCATGTTATTGTAATTTTTTTTCAGAGCAATACATGGCTCCAGAGTTTTCTTCAGGTTTAATAAAGTTCCATCTTATCTTAACACTATGTCTATTAACTCTAAGTAAGCTTTGTGAGACTACATGAACCCTGGACAAATGCTGGACCTGTACACACAGATAAACACACCTGTGGAAGGAGCTGTCCACCAGGTCTCTTGCCCTCTTCTTGGACGTAGCGATCTGACAGCCCAGAGCCAAACCTTCTGCGTCCAGGATCCTCGCTTTCTTACCTGAAGAACACACAACCGACAACAACAGGAGTTAAACACAGCATGAGGCCCGATAACTTTTACCGGATACCTTTTCTGGGACGCACAGAAAAAAGTTTTTAAATAAAGTTGTTGTACCAGCGTCTTAATTTGGGTTTTTCGAAAAAGAAAAAAAAAGCTGTAGATTGTAGTTGAGAGGAGAGTTGGGTTGTAAAAGCAGCTTGACTGCCTCAAGAAAAGGTGAAAAACAAATGTACAGTTTTTCAGAAAGATCATGAGCAACTTATTGGGAGATGCTATGCTAATGCTCGATCACCATAGTAACTGATGCTCAATCACCATGGTAACTGATGCTACACAGCTGCTCAGAGTTTAGGATTCAGATTGGTTGTAAGAAGTCTCAGTGATCCCAGTGAACGAGGCCGTGCAGTTACAGCAGGACAACTGCAGGCATCAGGCTGCCACAGGAACCTTCATGCATTCAGCTGGTGATGCAGAAAATGCAGAAATATGTTTTTTTTATTTTTCGAAAACTGATCCGCCTATTGGTATTTACTATTACTACTTACTACTGGTATTTTATACTCCACAGAGGAGGTGGGTGAGAGGAGGATGTTAGCAAAGCTCACATCCATCATGGACAACCCCTCTTACCCGCTGCCATGAGACTGTGGGGGCTTTAAGTAGCTCCTGAGGCAGCAGACTCAGACATCCTCTCTGCAGGAAAGAGCGCCACCGCAGGTCATTCCTACCAACTGCAGCACGACTTTACAGCATCAGCATCACTGGCTGATGTTGACCACATGGACAAAATTGACACTTCATGGTCACAAATTCACTTTTGCACAATCTATTTTTCTTTTTCAGTGTAAATATTGTTATTACTAATTATTATTCTTTCCTTGTACTTTCTTTCAATATATTTGGATGCTGCTGTGGCATATAAATTCAATAATAATTTAATCTATTCTATTTATCAGAGAACAGAAATTTCTTTGATTTTTCCAAAAACTAAAGTGATTTCAACATGTCCCTCATTAAGAGACAGTGTCAGACCTAACTGTGCTTGTTCTGTCATGTTTAACTATATCTAGCTTAACTATTCAGAGCTCTAATGTGCAGCTGCATCAAGAGTCACGAAGTGGGAAAAATAAAATATTGTCTTAAACGATTTACAATTTTCTACCACTTTCCTCTCCTGCATCATGTGTTGGTTTTCACAGTAATGAATGTTTATATTCTTCAGTTTCCTAATATGACAACCTGTTATTCTGTGCAGAAGAAGAGTCGAATAAGGCGCCAAACACAAAGAAACCTGGATATTTTGAGCTTGTTTCACAGCGCAGCCTGCAGTCAGCTGCCTGAAACGCAAATGCTTCTCATACTCACTGGTGCTTTCGACAGGAACCACCTGGAAGTCGTCATCGTCGGCGTCTCCAGACGTCCCAGCAGCCCCGCTGGCATGCTTCATCCTGGTAATCTCCCTGGAAATAGGAACAGCGACTGATGTATTTGTGGCCTTAAGTAGTGGTTTATAATTAAAAAGGTTTGCCACAGAAGCTTGCATTAGATTTTTTCCCCAGTGAGTTATAATATCTTGGACCAAAAACACCACAGAGACCGTAGGTAAAAGAGATTTACTTTTCATCATCACTGCTGTCGTCTGAGTCGCTGTCGCTCTCCTCCACGGCTTCCTGCGAAGGTCCCGGCTTTTCCTCCTCCGGCGGAGCAGCTTGTGCCTCCTCTTCTACTTCCTCCTCAGTTTTCCTCTTTTTACCTTTTCCTAAAAGAAGGTATTATTTCGTCAGTTTCTTTCATATTGTGTATTTTTTCAATAAATTGCAGGGAAACATGAGCGTGTGAATAAAAGAAGGACAAACAGCGAAGAAGGTCACCTGACTGTTTGCTCTGGAGCCACTCGGTCTGCCTGAGCTCGCTCTCTGCATCGTCTTCCAGGTCGATCTCAGAGAAGATGCCCTGCGGAGCAAAAGGATGCAGAAATATCAGCACATGAGCAGCTGTGGGTCCAGAGGCTGATCAGTAACGACGTGGAGGAAGAAGCAGGCAGATGAAGAACAGAATCAGTAAATCCAGACAGAAAGCAGGAAATGTGTTGATGCACCTTTGTAGAGTTTAAAGAGAGAGAGAGCTTAATTGTTTGTTATTAGGGATTAAAAACTAAATTATGTGAAATATTTAGGCTGAATTCTGGGTATTTTTTATGTTTTCAGAGTTGGGAATTTCTGTATTTTCATCCCTTATAAAAAATATCTGTTTAAAAGGTTCAGCATCTTCAGGAATAAAACTCACGCAGCCATTAAATTTGGTGAAAACACAGACAGAAGAGTTTTCAGCAGGTCTAAATGATGGAATGGCACCAGCAGAGCCCAAATCTTTAATCATTGGTACTTAAAAATAGAATGAAATGCAAAAAATACCAATCAAGAGTGGTTGTGTGGCTCCAGAAAGCTCCTCTAAGTGTATAAATATATGGCTGGATCCACATTTCTACTAAAAATACAGTTTTTTGTGGACACTTCACCAACTGTTGAGGCTCTAATATCAGTAGAATTTAACGTGGGACAAGTATGACAAGATAAGGTTCCAGTTTTGACTATTTTGACCAAACGTTGATGTGGAATCACTTGTAGGAAACAAAACCTGATGGTCACAGGGCTCTACATGTTGTCATCATATGTGCAAAGTTACAAGCTGCTTCCACGTGGTCTTCACATGAACACAGGAACTTTCTGGGGCCTCAGCATCGCCCTCATTCAAACAATTTCTTCCATTTTCAAGAGCCAATAGTTAAAGATTTGGCCTCTGAGTCTTCTTATGAAACATGTGAAGCCTCGTCTTGCCAAACATCAGAGTCTACTGATGCTAGAGGCCAAATATGAGACTGTAGACTGTATTTTAGTAGAAAATATGGACACATTCATATATATATACACTTACAGGAGCTTTCAGTGTCACCAGTACCACCCTAATTAAAACATTTGGGACAATTTCAAGTCGTTTTGGACAAGATTTATCTAATTTCAGACAAATTTGTCCCGTCTTCGACAGGTTTCATGTCAAAATTGCAAAAAACTGGAACACTGTCTTGTCATACGTGTCACATGTTAATTTCTACTGATGCTAGAGGCCACAATACCATGCTGGTTTAAAAAAAATGTGCTTCTTGTTTTCATTTTTCTTTTTGCAAGGGCCAATAATAGAAATTTGGACTCAATCTTTTGGATCTGCTGGAAACTGGAAACCAAATGTCACGGCTGTGGGAGTTTCATTTCTGGAGATATTGAGCTCTTAAAACGGCTTTGACGACATAAAACATATTAAATTCTCAAAATTCAGCCGAAGTATTGTCACAGAACTTTGTTTTGGGTTCCGAATCACAAATGTGGACAGAATCTGAGGCGGTGGAGCAACAATCGCTGACTGGATTGACATGGAAGGATCCCTGTGGCGTCGTATTTTGTTAATGTGACCTAAACAGGGACAACCTTCTGCATCATGGGATTACATGCAGACCAACCTTGCTGAACCACAGGTTGGTCTCTCGCTCCATTTTCTCGTCCTTTCCCTCCAGCTCCACCAGCAAACCGCTCTCCTGCCCTCCGTCGTCCTCGTCTTCGTCTGTGAATTTCACTCTGGAGAAAACGGAACAAAAACGTTATTTCCAAAGGAGCAGAGATTCGAAACACTGAGCTGTTTCATGCAGCATTTTACTTTTAAGTTTAAGGTTTTATCTTAGAGCTTCTACTGGTCCAGCATTGCAGTGTTGATGCTAAATTACAACTTAATTGCTAATTGCAGACCTTTGCATTTGTTTTAAAAGCAGAAACTTACTTCTTCTTCGGTGCTTTCTTTTCCAGCGCTTTCTGTCTCTGTTCCACTTCTTCCAAATCGTCGTCGTCTAAATCCGAAGCCAGCGACATTTCATCCGCCTCATCGTCCTCATCGTCCTCTTCGTCAGAGAGGTGAAGGTAGTCCTCTCCCTCCACCAGAGAGTCCGCTGCCTGCATGTCGCCCTTCGAAATATCAGTCAGCGCCTGATGGACCAACGGAAAACACAAGAGGAACGTTGAGTAAAAGGTTCAGCTGCTTCTCTGGAAATCACGTCGACTTTCAGGATCAATTCAGAAATTTGCTTAAACCCGTTCACAGCAACAACAAAAAAAAAAAGCAGTTCACCAAGCCGCACTGATGTTAGAGGCCTCAAAAGACTATGTTAACAGGAAATATGGATGCACCAACATATATGTGCACATACAGGAACTCTCATTGTCCCCAACACCAGCGTGAAAATTTTGCCCTTTTTTGAATTTGCAAGGGCCGCGGCAATGTCAGTGGTTTCAACGATGTGGCCGATCGGTGTGCATCTGAGAACCGCGGTGGTGAGAAGGAGCGTGTCGATTTCACCTTTTGCTTCTTGACGGTCATGAGCGAGAACAGGGAGGCGTCGTCGGTGCTCGCTATGGAGACGCCCGGCAGGTCCATCTTCAGCTCCACCCTCTCCCTCTGCTTCCTCCGCTCCTTCAGCAGCTTCTTCTTCTTCCTGAAGGAGCGCGACAGTCGGAAAAAACTCAGCAACAATTTCATGCAGTTGCGCTGAAATCGCATCGATCGAGACTAGCTGACAGGTTGTAAGAGGTGAATTTAAAAAAACGGCAAAGTGCTGCTGAATCAGTGAGCAAACACAACACTTTCAGATCCGCTGCGACTGATCAGAAACTACAATCAAACATAAACATGCAGTAAAAGTGAGGAAATATGTAATTATTTTAGGAAATCAACAGAAAATATAACTCGAAAAAGGAACAAATATTCAGAAACTGGCTGGAAAAAAAGGTAATTTTGTGTTTGTCGTACCGTTTGAGCTCCGCCACCTCCTCAGCTTTCAGCTCTGCCATTTTTTTCTCCATTTCTGCCTCCTCATCATCCTCCTCCTCCTCATCATCATCATCTCCCTCCTCCTCTTTCTTCTTCTTGCCTGGTTTTTCCTCAGAATCACTCTCTTCTTCATCAGAGCTTAAACTGAAAACAAGGCAAAGGGGATTTTATAAATCTGCCGTGAGACAGTTGAACAAAGTCGTAACAACATTTCAGTGGGTTTTTTTTGTAAAGCGGGAGGTTACCTGATGCTCTGGTCGAGCTGTTTGGCCTCATCCTTCAGTTTCTTAGTCAGGTATCTCCTCAGCTTGGACCTCCAGCTCAGCAGCAACCTGAAGATGTGATGATAGAAGAGAGAACAGACACACGTGTGAGTCACTAATACTCGTCTGTATCATCTCCAGACAACGGCAGCACTGACAAGCCAAGTTTCGGTATCTTCTCACACCAGCTAACGAATCTAATGTGTATGAAAATGACAGCAGCCATTCAAACATTGTACGTGAGAGATCTTACCGGAGTTCTTTGCGGCCGAGGACTTTGATGTCACGACAACACTCTTTTATTTCTTTAGAGGTGGCCGGGTGAGACTCCAGGTCTGGATTGTCGAAGGTGATCTGAAGGAGACGGAGTGAGAACAGCGTGACGGGAAGAATTTGCCTCAGTTGTCTCTTTTCTCAGTGACATCAGTCAGG